TGTATTGTGCTACGCCCAACAGAAATACTCCAGGTGGGCGACTTTAAAATCAGGATCTCCTCAGTTGCTAATAGCAATTCCCACCTTGGAGTTTACAAAGACTTATGGGTAGAAAAGCCACACTAAGTAATTTACTACACCGCAGCCCTCAACAAGATGGATTGATAGAGTGGCTGTAACAATGACCCCAGGTATAGCAAGGGTTGTGATTATCGTGCAGGGCCGTGCAGTGTTTTGTTCTTTTGTGTGTAGGGGTACTATGAGTCAGAGCTGACTCAGTGACATCTAACAACAACAAAAAGTAATACCAAGAGTAGTTCTGGCATCCTGTGTGGGTGTCAGAATTGGCGTATTTGTAAAAGCTTTAGATTTACCTTTATATATGTAAGTTGCTTATTGTGATTTGGGTGAAAGTTTATAGAGCAAATTGGTTTTCTCTTCAGCAGTTCATACACATTTTGTTTTTGTGAATTGATGGGAATCCAGACAATGTATCAACTCTCTTTCCACTTCCTCCCTGTGGTTACCTTTTCCCTGTGTCCTTTACTATGTGTTCCTGCTTTCTGAGCTTTCTCCCTGCACAAATACTGCCCTTCTGATCTCCCAGGTTGATTGTTTTAAGGAGTACATCTCCCTGATGTATTTGTTCACCTTGTAAGCCTGTCTATAGTTTGGCTGAAGGTTGATTCATATTCTTGCTTTTGTAAGCTTTTTCTTGAGGTGACGCTTATCAGAAACAGTAATCTACTTAAAATGAAAAATTAGAGTCTGAGAAATTGGGTAAAATTTGATGAGATCTCTTCTAAGGTTTCTTAACTGTCTATACTACACAGCATTTTGTTTGTAGTATTTTAGCCTCTGGTGGTCAGATGTTTCTGATAGTGCACTTTGTGTGGTTTGAATATGTTCTTTTCAAGAATAAGACTGGTTTTTTAAAGGAACAACTGGAATGATTCTGAAAAAGGTAAATTTGAGATTTCTAACACTAAACACTTAAGAAAATAAGAGGTATAATAGAAGAAATGTGTTGAAATTTCATCAGGTTAACGTTCATAAATAAAAATTTTAATACATTAATTTCTTTATAAAATTTTATGTTTAAATACTTCAATTTTATTGAAATAAATTTTAGTTTTAGGTCTTTCTTTCAATTATATATTGGTTCATTGCTGATAATTTTGGGTTTCTGTTTGTGTGATTTGTCTTTAATGCCAAAGTGGCCATCATTGTTCTCTGCTTTTCTAATCCTGTTGACAAATAATTTTCTAATTAAGTTAACAGATAATAAATGCTAAGGTGATATCAAACTGCTCTTTTAAAAATTGCTCCTTTTTTCTTCAGAATTACTTTTAGGATAAATTGCCATAATTTTCTGTATCTCCTTGAGATAGTTGGAAATTATTGAGGAATCAGAAAACCAAAGTTGGAAATACTAGGTTGTTAACTCATAATTAAGAACTCATTTTGAATCCTTCAAGTTCTGTTCATTTGAGGTTAAAATTCTGAAATTGAAGACTTCCATTTCCGTATGGCATTTACTGGTAAAGACTAAAGAATTGTTTATAAAATGAAATAGAACAATCCAAAGCTATCAAGTCTGTGGAATAATTTGAATTACTCGAATTATTATAATTCAAATTGAGTTATTGTTCAATAATTTGAATGTCCACATTCTTTAAGGAAATTTGTGAGAGGGAAAAGTGATAGATCACACTTTACTGAGGTGTTCCAGTAACCCTGTTCTGTATCACCAAAAATGTCTTCTAAGTTCTAAGTATATAAACAAATTTTTTATATGTTTAATGTTTCTTATAGCCAGTATATTAATCTTAGCCTATATTTACAAGCTTGTTGAGCTTTATTTTCATATTCTGTACTTATCTTGAAGGAACTCTTGTAGCATAGTGGGTAAGGCATTTAGTCGCTAACCAGTAGGTTAGTGATTCAAACCCATGAGCTGCTCTGCAGAAGGAAGATGAAGCTCATAAAAATTTACAGCCTTGGAAACCCAATGGGGGTTTATGCCACCCGAGCTTTTCAATATATACATGTGTGTGTGTGTATATATATATATATATATATATATATATATATATATATTTGTTAACCTTTGTGCCTCATTTTACTGATGTAAGAAAATTATAACCCTATACGTAATGTATGTATGTGTGTGTGTGATACGTACATAAGGTATTTATATGTAGTATATATACACATACACACAGGCTACATATATATATATCTGGGTGTATGTGTATATATATATATATAAAATATATATATATTTACATTGTTGTTAGATGCTGTGGAGTCTGCTCCAACTCATAACGACCCCCTGTAAAACAGCACAAAACACTGCCCAGTCCTATGTCAGCTTCACAATCCTTGCTATGCCTGAGCACATCATTGCAGCCACCATGTCAGCCCATCTTGTTGAGGACCTTCCCCTTTTTCCCTGATCCTCCACTTTACCAAGTATAATATTCTTCTCTAGGGATGGTCCTTTTTGGTAACATGACCAAGGTAAGTGAGAAGAAGTCTGGCCATTCTCGCTTGCAAGGAGCATTCTGGCTACACTTCTTCCAAGACAGATCTGTTAGTTCTTCTGGCAGTCCATGGTACTTTGAGTATTCTTTGCCAGCACTGCACAACTCAAAAGCATCAACTCTTCTGGGGTCTTGTTTATTTACTGCCCAGCTTTCACATGTATACGAGGCAATTGAAAATACTATGGCTTGGGTTAGGCGCACCTTAGTCTTCAAAGAGACATCTTTGCACTTCAGCACTTCAGGTCTTTTGTGACAGATTTGCCTAGTGCAATATGATGTCTGATTTCCATTGGTGTTGATGGTGGAAGCAAGTAATATGAAATCTTTGACAACTTCAGTCTTTTCTCCATTTATTGGGATGCTGCGTGTGATATTAATGATATTGTTTGATGATTTCCACATTCTGTGGAATCACCTTTCTTTGGAATGGGTACAAATATGGATCTCTTCCAGTCAGTTGCCAAGGTAGCTGTCTTCCATATTTCTTGTCATAGATGAGTAAGTGCCTCCAGCACAGCACCCGTTTACTGGAGCATATCTCCATGGGTATTCCATCAATTCCTGGAGGCTTGTTTTGCCAATTCCTTCAGTTCAGCTTCAACTTTTTCCTTCAGTACCATTGGTTCTTGATCATATACCACCTCCTGAAATAGATGAACATCGACTAATTCTTGATACAGTGACTCTGTGTATTCCTTCCATCTTCTTTTTATGTTTCCTGCATCAGTGAATATTTTGCCCATAGAATTCAGTGCTGTATTTTGTCAGTTTGGATTTATTCAGAAATGAACTAGTTACGGAAGATGAGTTTTATATGTGTGTGTGTGTGTATGTCAAATGTATAAAATTTAAAAATGGAGCTTTTTATATGAGAAAAGATTAAATTAAACAATTCAGTCTAATAGTAAGTATCTTTATTTTATAGGAAGAAAATTGAGATATAACTTACTGCCTTGTCTGGAGTCACATGGTGAGTTTGATGGATATCAAAATTAGATCCAGGAATTTCTGAATCCCAAGTTTCATGCTTCAATATTTGATGTTGCTTAAAGTGACTCATAAAATTGACTAGTGTTATGTATCAGTACTTAGGTGACAATTTTCAGAAAGTCAACTCTGCAACTTGATGGGCGACAACCATTTTCAACCAAAAAGTAAGTATTGCTACCAGGACTAATACTAGTATGTGTGGCTTTTGTGCTGATAATTTTACTTCAGGAGAAACATTAAGAGGTGGACACATTTTCTTATAAACATATGAAATTATTAAAGTAACAAATGCTCATAGTAAAACACAAATAATATACAATAACAAATGAATAAAGTAAAAAATGAAGTGTTTGCTTCCTATTCCCATAGATAACTACTGTTAACAATTTGGTGTACATAATCACATAGTTATTTTTTTCTATATGTAGGCAAAAAATGCATTTCTAAATAAGATCATATTATATATACTATTATGTTCCTTTTTAAAAAAAAAAAAATTACTTAATAGCTTTTCCTCGATGTTGTTGTTGTTGTTATGTGCCGTCGAGTCGGCCCCGACTCATAGCGACCCCTCCTTGGGTTTCCTAGGCAGTATCACTACGGAAGTAGGATTGCCCAACCTTCCTTCTGAGGAGTGGCTGGTGGGTTTGAACCGCCAGCTGTCTGGTTAGCAGGCAAGTGTCTTAGCCACTATGCTACCAGAGCTCCCCTTTTCCTCGATAGGCCCTGTCAAACAAGAATGAAGAAGACCTTTGTATACCAACTGGGTATAAATGACACTTTCATCATTAGTAGGAGCTCTGGTGGCATAGTGCCTAAGGTATTTGACTGCTAACCAAAAGGCTGGCGGTTCAAACCCACTAGCCACTCCTCAGAAAGAAGATTGGGCAATCTACTTCTATAGTGATACTGCTTCAGAAACCCAAGGAGGGGTTGCTACGAGTGGGATCCAACTCAACGGCAGTGGGTTTCATCATTAGTATAGATTGGTCTCCCTAATTTATAAAATCTAGGCATTATCTTACTTCACTTAGTTTCCTAATTTATAGATTATCATATGCTGTATGCCTACTGTACATCCAGTTGAGTACATTCTCAAGGAGCTTAATTTGTTCTTTGCTCTCAAAAGAGGAAGTTAGATGTATGTCTTAGAGCTGGTACAACAGAAATACTTCAAGAGGATGGCTTTAACAAACAAATTTATTTTCTCACAGTTTAGGAGGCTAGAAGTCTGATCCAGAGCTCTAGCTCTAGCAGAACACTTTCTTTCTCTGTCAGCTCTGGAAGAAGATCTGTGTCCCTTCAGCTTCTGCTCTGGTTCCTTAGAGCTCTCTTTGTGTCTTGACATCAGTCTTCCCTAGAGTCTATGAAATTCTTAGCATAGGGACCTCAGGTTCAAAGGACGTGCTGTGCTCCCATCTCTTCTCTCTTGGTAGTAGTGAGACCTCTGACTCCTTTCCCCCCTTCCCTTTCATCTCTTACAAGATAAAAGGTGTGATTCAAGCAAGGGTGTGACTTGCAAAAGGGTGTGACTTACAAGTAAGGATGTGACTTGAATAAGGGAGTGACTTGAATCTTACCCTTTTTTAAGGCTATGACTAAGATTCATTACACACTGATCCTGCCTAATTAACATACAGAGGTTAGGATTTACAACATTTCACAAAATGATGATAATGAGGTCAAAAAATGGAGAACAACTACATAATACTGGGAATCATAGCCTAGCAAATAGATAGATATTTTGGGGGGACAAATTCTATCCATGACAACATGTAAAATTAAGATACATGAAGAAATAGCAGTTTGAGATCATACATATTAAATGTTAAATTGCATGACATAGACTGTCAGTGTTTTGGAGTTCTAAGAAAAGTAAGGTCTGATGGTTTGTTGAGGAAGTTATAATGGAGCCAAAAGTTGGTGGGAGCATAGACCTGATATTTTGTTGGATATCTATTTGAAGGTAGATACTTTATATGGGATTTTCTTGAATTTATGTAATACTTCTGTTAAGTAGATATTGTACCCATACAATAGATAATGAAAATACATTCATTTTTCTTTTCTATTTCCCACCTCTTGCCTTTTATTCTTAGTTTATCTCTCTTTTGCTAATAACTTTTTTTCTCACAAATAATGATTAGGTACAGTATTTCTTGTAAATATAATAATTCCGGCTATATGACTGAAACTGTGATTGATTTGACTGTTTCTAATTTTTTTGTCCACTGTAAATAATTACAGTAATCTATCAGTTTGTCTTCTGTGTGTGTAAATTTTACTAGTATAAATTGTAGAGAGTGACTCTGAGTTATTTACTGTTGTACTGACTACAAATAGCTATTTAGAAATTGCTGTTAGAATTGTTAAATTTTAAATTCATACTATGTATTGCAAACATATATTTGTTCTTTTTGAAAATAAGATTTGGTTTTCTCTTCTTGACAATTAGATAATTCAAAAATGGCAGAATTATTTATGGAGTGTGAAGAAGAAGAGTTGGAACCATGGCAAAAGAAAGTAAAAGAAGTTGAGGATGATGATGATGATGAGCCAATCTTTGTTGGAGAGATATCAAGTTCAAAACCAGCAATTTCAAGTAAGCCTTTGCTTTCAGTAAGGCTAAGCTTTATAAGATACTGTTTCCAATGGAAAAACTTGTGGTCTCAAATGTCCTCTATGTCCTTTCTCTGTGAGGAGTTGAGGATGAGAGATCAGGTAAGAGATCAGTAGGAACTTGAGAATTATGGTGAAGATGTGTTTGGGGACTTGAAAGAAGTGAGAGGTTAAAATATTATATGTCAGAAAAGAGAAATGAGTTAAATTTACCTGGTGGCTTTGGAAGCTTTCTGACATTGGAAATAATAAATTTTGTAGAGCAGAGTAGTCTATATTTGTTTATTTTTCTTTATTGTTTACTTTAAGCCAAGAAGTAGATGAGGGACTGCTTTGTTTCAAATGTCAGAATATATTAAATAAATTTGTGTTAATCTATAATGTGGGTTCTCACATCCAGACAACTGTTTGTTTCATCAGTGTTTCCTGATAATGGCTACAGAATGCATAGGGTCTGAATCATTATATGATCTCTGGCCTATGTGCCAACAGGTACTGTAGCTTCTGGCCACACCCATCTTCTAGCAACTTGTGTTTATATTCTTGAAAGAGAAGGGCATGGTCTGTGTCCACTATTTGGATGATGTAGTGAACAATAATCTAGTAGAACTCATGATTTGAAAAGTACTTAGAGTCTTCTACCAGAACCTTGGTATCATTGTGGGTTATTAGAGTAATTGGACAAGTCTTTGTTACAATGTTAAAGTGAAGAGACTGATAATACTTGTTAAAATGCCTGCCAAAAGAAAAGCATAAAAGTACAGAGAAATAATATACAAAATTTTGGGGGAGAATGAGAAAATAGATACTTTCCTATTTCATTTATATGTTTGTTTTGTTTTTTAAGTCAGGAGAATTTACCAAAGAATGTAACCAACATACTAATGTTTTCTTTCTTATTGTGGTGCAATGAATTACTTAATATGGCTTTTCTAGCCATAGTCTTTGTGACTCCCATACAGTGATTGGGTGGAGCTGTGTAAATAAGGTGCTTGTGGCCTACCAAGGCTATTGGACAGCTAACTGTTAATGTAAATAAAGTATATGGGACTTGTGATGGTTAAGATTATGTGTCAGCTTGGCTAGGCCATAATTTTCAGTGGCTTGGTGGTTATATAATGATATAATTTGGCAGTTTTATAGTGATGCAATCATCCTCCATTTAGTGGTCTGATGTGATTGTCCCCCATTTTGTGATCTGATGTAATTATTTTCCATTTTGTGATGTGTTTAAATCCTAGCCTGTTGGCACAGTGGTTTAAATGCTTGGTTGCTAACCAAAAGGTTGGTGGTTTGAACCCACCAGCCAGTCCCTGGTATGAAGATGTGGCAGTCCATTTTTGTAAAGATTTACAGCCTTTGAAATCCTATGGTACAGTTCTGCTCCATCCTATAGGCTCACTATGAGTCCGAATTGACTCAGCATTTGGGTAGTGAGTAATGCCTATGGTTATGGATCCATTTGAGAATGAGTTGTACATTATGTTAATGAACAGTATTAGGGTGGGTTGTATCTTTAGTCACTGCCTTACTAGGCGGTATTACTTAAGTCACCACTCATGCCACCCTTATTCAACTCACACCCTTACACTGCCTTGCTCAAGTTAGGGGAGTTTCCTTCAGGGTATGGTCTCTATCCAGTATATATAGGAAAAGCTTTGGCAAACCTCTCCTTCTTGCTCTGGATCCTGCATCCAACTCATCATTATCTGACCTCTGGTTCTTGAGCCAGCAGCCTATTCACTGACCTGACTTGCCAGTTTCTACAGCCTTTGGAGCCAGCAGCCTGTCATCTGATCTGCTGATTTGAGTTCATCAGCTCCTGTATCCACATGAGTCAGGAAATGCCTCCAGCCTGATGCCCACAGATTCAGGACTTGTTCCTCCACAACCACATCAGCCATTTCCTTGATGATTCGTGAGTTCTCTGAGACATTTCGGCATATTACAGAACCCAGAGATGGGAGTGAGAGTACTGAGGAGAAGAGTAGTAGTTGATGTTAGAAATGTTGGAGTGGTACAGCAATTTGGAAAAGTTGGACATTTGGGACATCTTTAACCTATGCCTCATAGGGGCCAACTATGTGCTGATTCTTATAAAATAAATTATTCACTTACCATAGCCTTACCTAAAAGTGTTTTAAATTTTTCTGAAAACTTAGTTCTTGCTTCTCTTGCCTCTAAACAAGAGAATGGTTGTGATATTTCAGGTTGTGTGTCAACTTGGCTGGACCACAATTCTGAGTGGTTTAAGCAGTTGTGATGTGGTTATTCCCATGATGAGATCAGATGTATATGTTTTGAGCGGTCAACCCATTCAGAGGTAGTTTCCCTAGGGGTGTGGCCTGCTTCTAGTATATCCATATATATTGGATATCGTGGGAAAAAGACAGACTCTTATGTGAATCTGAATCCTGTTGTGCAGCCTACAGCTGTCAGTGAGCGAACAGTCCACTATTCGGCCTGGTGATCTCGGATTCGTCATCCATCGGAGTCATCAGCCAATATACTGCCTGTCAGCCTTGAGTTCATTAGCCCCTGCAGCTACGTGAGTCGTGAAAAGCCTCCAGGTTGACGTTTGATCTAGGAACTTAGGACTTGCCAGCTTCTATAAGTGTGTGAGCCATTTTCCTGAAATAAATTTCTCTCTCTCTCTCTATCTCTCTCTCTCTCTCCAAGTTTTACTGGTTTTGCTTCTCTAGAGAACCCAGCCTAACACATCTGGTACTCCAAGTGGTCTAGAGAGACAGAATCATAAGGATGGGTTTCCTAAATTGGTTCTCACCGATTTTGTTTTGGTTCTCCAATTTGATTAATTGTGAAGGCACTAGTAACTTTGCCTCCATTAATAAAGAGGGCCCTGCTAATCTGTTGCATGAGGTGGCAACATTAATACCCTAAATAGCACCACCAATAGATCAAGTGTTTTTGAGAAGTGAATCTCTCGGTGATTGCATGTTTGGTACTTTTCTGCAGTTTTGTCAGCATGAGGAATATAAGGAAGCTGGCTGGTTGGTCCTACTTATGCTAGACAAACTGGTGAAAGAGCAAGATGAGTTCAGGGCTGCTGAGTCATAGCTCAAGCGCTGCATAAAAGACCTCAGTGTTTCCAGTTGTGCCCTGAAAGAAAGCCTTACTTATTTCTTCTAGTAACAGAGCTGATGCTGCTGAAAACCAAACCCAAAGTCTTATTATAAGAATGGTTGAATTACAATGCCAATTGACTTGCCAATCCAGAATGGTGTCTGAAGTTAAAATGAGGACATTGATTGGGAAAAAATGGGATCCTGGAACCTGGAATGAGGATGTATGGGCAGACAGTCAGGAAGATGAGGATATGGAGCCTGTAAATTCTGTTGAATCCTTCCTATCTGAAGGGATTACTATAAAACCATTATCCCTCCTACCTCCCTTGGATGAGATTAACTCAGCTGTTCCTGCTGGGTCATTGCCTGAGGTAGATGTCATGGAAGACATTGCTGACTGTTTTCAGGAACTGCCCCAACCACCCATTGTTGCTGCTAGACCTATAGCTAAAGTTAAGTCCAAGTGAGCCCCAAAAGATGAAATACAAAGTATGATTGAGGAAGTGGTACTCTACACCCAAAAAGACCTACTTGATTTTGCTAACATGTACAGACAGAAACCTGGAGAATATGTGTGTGAATGGCTCCTAAGGGTGTGGGATAATGGTGGAAGGAATGGAACATTGGATTGGTCTGAGTTTATTGATTTAGGCCCTCTAAGTTCGGATTGGGAGCTCTGGTAGCATAGTGGCTAAGATACTTGGCTGCTAACCAGAAGGCTGGCGGTTCAAACCCACCAGTCACTCCTCGGAAGGAAGATGGGGCAATCTACTTCCATAGTGATACTGCCTCGGAAACCCAAGGAGGGGTCGCTATGAGTCGGGTCCAACTTGACAGCACATAACAACAACAACAACAAGTTCAGATTATTCGTTCAGTGTTTCAGCTTGAGAGGTTAGGAAAGGACCTAATTGTTCATTTGGTTCACTTACTGAAGCATGGGTTATGCTGTGGCCTACCTCAAGTCAAAGCAGAAGTACCAAACCTGCCTTGGTATGATGTAGAGGAAGGTATCCAGAGGCTTAGGGAAATTGGCATGTTAGAATGGATTTATCAGATTGGACCCCTAGAGCCAGAAATGGAAAGACCAGAGGACACATCTTTTACCACTATGGTGAGGAACAAATTTGTGAAGGGAGCCCCAGCATGCTTGAAGACTGCTGTGATTGCTCTTTTATGTAAGCCAGATTGACAGTGGGAACTGCCCAAATTGAACTAAGACACATAACTATGATGGGACTGATTGGACTCCATGGTGGTAGGAGACAAGTGGCAGCAGTTAATTGACAAAGACAAGGTGGGCATTGTTACCATAATGGACAGAGAGTTGAAATAGTAATCAGAATAGTCTGACTCATGTGGAATTAATGGTATTGGCTACCTAGGCATGGTGTTTCTAGGAGTAAAATACATGGCAAACCTGCTAAATATTTACTTGATCTTTATAGACAGAAGAATTCTCAGTCACATGAACAGAGTATAGATTGAATCACCAGAGTACAGAGTCACAGCCTCTCAATCAATTCCAAGACTTGAGTCAGTTTATAGACCCACAACCCCTTGAGAGAAGGGGAGGCTGGGTCCCCTTGAGGAAGGACCCCACTATATTGCCTAAAATTTATATTGTCACTCTCTCTCCCAGCCTTCCCCAAAGGGATCTGAGGCCTTTTACAAGAGTGACTGTTCACTGGGGAAAAGGAAATAATCAGAATTTTCAGGGATACTGACTCTGAACTGCCACTAATTCCAGGAGACCCAAAGTGTCACTGTGGCCCACCAGTCAGATTGGGGGCATGTGGAGGTCAAGTTATTGATGGAGTCTTAGCTCAGGTGCATCTCACAGTGGGTCCAGTGAGTTCCTGAACCCATCCTGTAGTGATTTCCTCAGTTCCAGAAT